TATATATATATATATATGTATATATGTATATATATATATATATATATATATATATAGTATATATATATATATATGATATATAGTTGTATTATATATATATATATATATATATTATATATATATATACATATATATATATTATATATATATATATATATATACATAGTATATATATATATATATATATATATATAGTATATAGTATTACTATATAATATATAACTATATATATATATATATATACTATATACACTATATATATATGTATGTATGTGTATACACTCACTCATACACACTAATTCAGTAACTCTCACACATATCTGTATGTTCATGATACATGATATGATATATAATATAATATAAGTAGTATACCATGAACAATATATAATACAAAGTATATAATATGACGTCGTAGGTGTAGCGGTGTGTGTGTGCATTATGTAGGTGTGGCTCGTGTGGTGTAGTGTGCGTGCTCGTGTGTGTAGTTGAGCCTCGTGTGTGATAGGTGCTGCGTCGCTCGTGCTGTGTCAGTGTGTGCTTCGCTAGGTTTAGTGTGCAACGCGTGTAGGTAGCGTGTGTTGTAAGTGTAGGTGTAGGTTAGGTGTAGTGTGGTGTATGTGTAGGTCGTAGAGAGTGTGTGTGTAGGTGTGAATGTGAGCGCGGCACTTATGTAGGTGTAAGTGTATTGTAGTGGAGGGGTGTGTTTGTTAAGTGAGAGTGTGCTAAGGTCTCATGGTTACGTGGTGGAAAGGTATTGTGTGTAGTCGCGTTGATGTGTGTAGGGTAATGTGTGTGCGCGAGTGTGTGTGTTGGTTGTTGGTGTGTGACGTGTGTGTGGGGGTTGTTGCTGTGTGTGGTGTGTGTGTGGTTGTGTGGTGTGTATGTTTGTATTGTGTGTAGGTGTAGGGTGGTGTAGCCCCGTAGTGTGTGTAGGTTGCGTGGTAGTTATTCCAGGATGCGCGTGTGTGTGGTGGTGTGTATGTGTTGTGTGGTGTGGTCGTTACTGTGTGTGATTTTTGCTGACGCATTAGGACAGTTGAATTGGCTGGTATACCTGATCGTCAGTTGGGGCGAGGGTGATCATAGCGTGGTTCGTGTGGATTGGTGCGCTGGGGTGTGTGTTTAGTTTGTAACGGTGTGTGTTTGTTGTGTGTGGTAATGTGTGTTCTGTGTTGTGTGTAGGTGTGTTGTGTGGTATGGTGTGTGTTGCGTGTAAGATTCGATATGGCGTATTTAACAGCTTTGTCAATTCTTGTGGCTGTTAGGTGTGTTAATGTAGTGTGTGTGTGTACGGTTTTGGTGTGTGTAGGTGCTGTAGGTGTAGTTTGTATGTGTGTAGTGTGTGTGTGTGTAGGTGTTTGAATTCCTATTGAGTTTGTGTGTGTAGGTGTGCTAGTGTGTATGTGTAAGGTGTTAGGTAGTATGTGTAGTTATGCTAGGTCACGTGTGAGTAAGGCTGTGTGTGTGAGGTGTATGTGTAGTGTGTAGGTTGTGTTGTAAGGTGTTGTACGGTGTGGTGTGTGGTGTAGGTGTGACTGGGGTGTGTGGCAGGTTGTGTGTGACCTGCTGTTAGGTGACTCTCAGTGAGTGCCTGTGTCGGCTGTAGAGTGTTATGTGTGTAGTTGTAGCTCCGTTGTGAGTCTATCTAATGTTTATGTGTGTGTGTGTACGGTGTTGTGTGCTGTAGGGTTGTTCGGTGATAGGTGTGTGTGGTGTCGTGTAGTTCGGAACTGTGTGGTGTAGTGTGTGTGTGTGTGTAGCGTGAGTGTGTGTGAATGTGTAGGTGTGTGTGTGTGGTGTGTAGGTGTGTGTCGTAGTGTGTAGGTGTGTGTGTGTAGTGTTGTGTGTGTGTGGTGTGTGTGTGTGAGTGTGTGTGTGTTGTGTGGTGTGTGTGTGTTGTAATCTGTCTCACCACATATGATAGTGCGCAGTGTCATGTGTCGTAGTCGCGCGACGCGACCCGATAGATCATACATATTTCACTTAACTACTTTATACATATACGTCATAAATATAATGTCTACTACTCACTATACATATATACATAAAACTTATACTACGGTGTATACTAACATATACATGCAAATACAACTAAATATACTATAATAATCATAAATATTATTATATTATAAATCTATGTTTTATAATACTATATATCACTATCACCTATATTACTATATATAATATATATATTTTTACCACACACACACTATCACAGTACAAATTGACCTAGTTACATATAAAAACCTATGATAAGAGATATTTTGAGTACTTATACTAACCATGTTATTACATATACCTTACATACAACACAATTAAACCATACAACACGCACATATTTTGTGCCTGATATGATTTCTGCATACATACACATACATACACACGAAAAAATAATGATGACAATGAATAACATGAGTACTCTAAGCGTATAGCTATTTAAATTCTAAGTACAATTAAACATTATTCATGAGATGTAAGAGTGGTGCATATAATAAACAATAATTGATAATAATAATAATAATTAATTATAATAAATAATAAAATAATAATAATGGTACATCAATAATAAGCAATAATAAAATGGATCGGTACTATCAATAACATGGTGGTAATAATCAATAATAAAAACCAAACCACCAATAATAATAATAATAATAAATTACTTCATAACCATTAATCAATGATAATAAAAATATCACAACACAATATTTAACCACTTAATTGATAATCATACCCAATCTAGAATATCACTCTGACTACAATCTTACCTGTTCTGTCGCCCTCTATTCCACTTACAATTTCGCTAACACCCTTCCCTTTCGCCCCACCTTCTTCCCCCATTGATTGTGTTTCTTTTAAATACTAATTAAACTAAATTAACACTGATTAAGCGATTAACCACACTATTTTAACAAAATCTAATAAATCCAAACACATTCTAACTAAAGTCCCCTCAATCTTCATTTCCTTCTTGAATAAGCTGTACTTTCTATTGCGTCCATAACAAACACAGTGGACACAACTACTATCTCTACCCTATACCTCTGTATAATCTGCATTTACCCATGTTCAAGGATAATGCATTCCTCTATATTATCCTTTTACCCTCTCGTTCGTTTCATATATAATATAATATCATGCGCACATTAATATCGTCTTAAACTGTTTCACCATACCCTATGCATGCATTACCGCTATAACTAAGTCCTTCACTAGAATCAATATGACCCTGAAGAACATCGCCTCCCGTATGTGCGCAAGCTTCTCAGCGCATCTGCACATGAATATGCTAAGCTTTTCGGATTTTTTGCTATGACCTGACTGACCTTGAATAGGATAAAGCATATCATATGGGCAATATGTTGAACCTGCTATAAAAGGAGTTGAGCGAAATGACTATATGAAAAATTCATTATCGCTAAAGCAACGCTGTTCTCAAAATTAAAGCCAAATAGGTCATTAAGATATAAATAGCATTCATTCTGTAGCATAATTATGCAGGAGAAAAATAAGCCGCAGCATAGTGTACGTGCACCTACACAGTCCTTCTAAAGAGTGAATTATGAATGCAGCGAGTATCTGAGAAAGTCGAGGCACAAGAATAGACCACCCAATACTCCCGACATATAAATAAGACTGATATAGATAGAGGTAATTTCTCGTAAGGATGATAAATAGCCCAGCTAGATTATAAATAAACCTACAGTGTATCTTATGATCACAAGGTATATTTTTCATCAATTTAGGCTATTAATATATGTAAAGATTAACCACTAGTGAGTACATATTAACAAATTTATTGATCAACGAACAATAATACAATGGCACTGATGAATTGAGAAGACCCTCGCGATTAACACAGTCAAAGTCCACACCGAACAGAAATTTGAACAATATAACACAAACCTACATGTAACGCCATCCCAGCCCACCACACATCCGATTCTACAAGCCGACACACAAGACAAAACAATCAATTGATTACATACTATCTCGAAGTCTCATAACACACGACAGCTTCAACTATCACACATCACACACTTACATCCAACACACAACACAGACAGCATCATCACACATATCTCAGGCAGCAGAACATCTCAGTGACAGACCCACGCATCAACGAGAGATACATCGCAACAATACAACACACCGACTTGGTCCCACAAACAACACACCACAAACCTGAAAGTCTCAACGACAACACATCAAAAAATCTATGGTCTGAAACGAACCACAATCACACACATTGGTCTATCTCATCAGCTATAAGTTTCTCTCACCTGCGACAACAAAACGAATTACCAGTTAGCTCTATAAAGATATTGCACCAAACCCGTTGGCCAGGGCTGTAGGAGCGACTGACTGCCTCACCGTCCAGCAGACCCTACCATCTGCCACACGACCCGCTTTCTCTCACGTGCAGCGTCTCGAACCATCACCACCTTCATTGCTATCCATCTGGAGCTGAGATGCACAGGGCCACAACTTATAGAATGTTCACCGTAGAGCGCTAACGACAAAATTAAATGGATTGAACATGCGTGCTCACATAAGGATTCTATAGTCACACCAGCTGTTACGAACTCGCAGAGGCGATCACGACGTGAAGGTGGCGGTGTTGGACCGACCGCTTCGCTCTTAGAGGTGGTGTGCCCTTTCACAGCCAGCCGAGCCGAGTACTTCCAAGAGTCGTAGCATGTCACATGCTACTACTAGTCAGTATCGCAAGTGTTGTCGAAAGTGAAAACAGAGTACAATAGTGTAAACTGCTCAAATAGTAAAGTACAGACCCTCGATTTATGATATGTTATTGAAAGTTACAAGAAAGTGAAATTTAAAGAGTACAAAATCATTAATAATCTACAAAAAATAATGTAAACATGAACTCACATCTTGACAGCAACATCATTTAAGCAATTCAGATTCACAAAACCTGTGAAAAGAAGATGAAGACAAAGAGAGATGAAGAGACTTAGGACAGAAATGAATGGAAAGTAATGCAGTTCAATCGTTTCATTCCAGCTTATCACCACCATTTTGGAAGGCAATGTAGGGTGGCTGCCTATGGGTTTAGTAAGCTCATTGAACTATTTGAAGCCATTCCAGATGTTCTTCAGGTCTATGATGACGAAGAAGATGGAGAGAAGCAGTTGCAGCTGGTGGAACGAGAACGTGTCCGTGTACTAGGAGATCAAGTTGGAGCAGTGGTACGAGGAGCTCCTAGGCAAGCTATCAGGATTTCTGCCTTGACCCAGGTCTTCACTCGTTATTATGGGTATTCTTTGAAACCCTCTCATTATGGTGGTAACACTTTGGAAGAGCTTATAGGAAAGCTTAGAAATCATGTGAAAGTAAGTTTAATAGGTTGGGTATTTTCTTGTCTAAAATAATGAAAAGGAATGCAAGTGCATTATAGGAAACTAATCATCAAATTAATGTTGTAATTACAACTAATCACTTCCATAATTATAGCTGGTGGAAACTGGTGATGAACCTGTAGTGGCCCTTGTTGACCGAGGATATGTGCATGAAATCATGGTGCGAGCACGGAAACTTCTCTGGGAGGACTCCAGCTGCAGCTATCCTCTAGATAAATTTGTTCAAACATACACTGACCGTTATGGCCATCCTCCAAGCATAGAAGTGATTAGACGGGACTTGGAAGATGTACTTGTGGTAAGTTGCTGTCTTTCATTTTTGCTTATTATTCCAGCCCTCCACCCCCTCTATTCCATATGTTTTTTGTTTTGTTTTTTTCCTGATGGAAATCTTAGATGTATAACTGACCCAGATGCACTTTATTTAGATTGAGGGTGAAGGGGAAGAAGCCAAGGTTAACCTGGTGCCACTGCAGATGTTTGCCCGAGATCTCTTGACACTTCTCCATGAAGCTGGGGGTCGTATGCTACTTCTGAATTTTGATACAGCCTATCTTGACCGTTTTGGTAAGTTCTCAGCCCATTGGATATTAATTAGATATATGGTTATGATAAATAGTATGCAGGATTGGACTTTAGAATCTTTTTACTATTCTGAATATTTGTATGAAAACTGTTTTTTCTCAGGTGTTGCATGTCGTCCAGCGACTTATGGTTTTCCCAATATAGTGGCTCTGGTTCAAGCCCTAGGAGATTTGGTGGCAGTTAGAGGTCGTGGAACAAAAAGAATACTTGTCTTAAATAGGGACTCTGCTCCTTCCCCTCCTAGCTTCCACATTCCTACATCAAGGTGAGTAAATTTCTATTTTGGAATATTCGCTTACCTTTGCTGTCTTACTTTACAAAGTAATTCATGACTTTTTTTTTCTTTTTACATTGTGGCAGTTCCTCTTTCTATGGAGACAACACTGAGGGTGCCAGTGCAAATAGTGATGCCAAGCCACCACCTCCAAGTCATCTTCCTCCTCCAAATAAAGTCACCCCACCTCAGCAGTGCGATTACCAGCGCTATATACAAGGTTGGTTTGTCTTGTTTATAAGATTTATCAAATTTGCACTATAGTTGTCAGTATCCAGGAGTCATTAAGGGGATGGGAGTATGGAGATATGAAGATATCATGGTTGTCTGGAAAAATCTTGCATATAGTAAAACCCTTGCATT